GCCGGCTGGTAGGTTGAACAGGGCGTTACCTGGCATTCCTTGGTAAATTAACTTAGCGGGCGGCTGCAGCGCGTCTCCCGCCAAATATTCATTTAAAAAGGTAAATGCAATTTTGCCGTTTTACGTGATTGAGATAATACCCCCCGATTAACGGGCTATCTTTTCTTCGCTCCCTTCTTTCGCCGATCTTTCTCCCCTCCCGCTTTCTGTCTTCCTATTTTTCGGCATCCCCCTACGGTGGCAAACGCGTCATTATCAAAATTCAACCGACCGTCCCACGAACCATCATCGTCGAGTAAACGCATTGTGCATCGCTTCAATTTTCTGCAGGTGTACGGCGCGGCGTTTCGAATCACGTGTTTGCGTTATATTGTTGCGATTCGTCTCGATATTAGTCGATCGAGGAAAAGAGAAAATGGTCAACTATTTGGTCGTACTGTCTCGACGTTGTTCGAACGAACGATCGAATAAGGTTGTCGATCGTTCGGTGGCTAAAGAGGGCTCGAGATTCCGGAGAGAAAGCTATCCGACGAGTAATTCGCGGAGGTCGTACATCATCCTCGGTGAACGGTTGTCCGCCTATTCGGTCGCTTCGTTTCGGCTTAAATCAAATTTACTAATTAACACCATTTACCAGGATCTATAGCGAAGGCGAGTCGCGGCTGTCCAGTGTCCGTGACTCTCTTTCCGAAGCTTCTTTTTGTTTCCTCTTCAACGTCGGTACGCGTTATTGATGATGCTCGTTAAAGAGCTCTCACGTGCCGGTGGGGCAGTTCTTCTTCGTCCCGGTGCCTCTCCCTCGTCTCTCTCTTCTCTCCTCTCCTCTCTTCTCTCTCTCGAGTTGTAACCATTACAGCGAGACTCGAGTCAAACTCGAAGTCACGGACTCCTGTGTGTATGGCCGTGATCCATCCTCGTGCCACTCTGGGTAGCTGCCGCGGGACATTAGTCATCGACAATCAAGATGAATTCACTCTTAAACAATGACGCTTAATTTCAAGAAGCCACCGACGAACAATCACCCGAATTCCCGAGCTGATCTGCCGAACGACGACTTGCGTGATTGAGCGTGCAGCCATAGCAACTTCGATAGAGGAAAAAAATTGCTGCCGAGTCAAAAGTGCGTTTAAAATCCTAACTAACAGCCAGTGTTCTCGAGACGATAGAAAATCTGTCGAATCGTAGCTGCCGGTTGCGCGTCCGGATTCTTGGGAACTGGAGGACACGGAGTGTCTACCAGCACGTTCGTTTCTCTCACGTTATTACCGCGTACGTACACAGCGCCGAGGGTAGATTTATGATGCGTCGCATTATCACGTAAGGTAACGCGACACCGCAATTCCACTTGGCGGCAGTGACCGGCAAACGCGCAAATTACCATCGCGATTGCGGCTAACTCGGCCCTTTACGCTAATAACGGCTACACCACGCGGCGAATTGCAAACAAGGACGTGGTACGCTTGCCCCTCGCAGTCTTTCCCACCGAGGGCGTAAACCACAAGCTGCTGCCGTTACTCCATCTCGTGTCTTAGGATACATTTATTTGTTTAGTCGGCTGCTTCTGGATTTCCACGTATTCGCTTTTCTTGTACGGGATATTACGCAACGGACACCGTTACTATAAGCAGCAAGACTCTTTATCTTTACTTTATCCGTTCTAATTCGTTCCCTTATAATTTCAATTTGTTTTTTCATTCGCAACAAGACTCGTTACTTTGTTAGTTCGACGTAGCTACGAAGTTGTTTCTCGCGAGAAATGGATTTTCTCATGTAGAATGCGTAAACCACGAGCAATATCGTGAACACGGATTCGCGTATGTCCCAGCTGTAACTTTCTTGTCGTAGAACGGCCGCTAGCAACACCGTGCAAGATCGTACACGTATCGAGACGCGGCAGTTTCAGTCGTTTATGAACGAAAGGAGTCATTGCGGATAATCGTGGGCGTCCGTTACTTACCAGTCACAACTTTAATCGTGTAGACACACGGCGAGGTTACGTATCCACCGACGCGATCGAATGCAAATGCTACGAAACGTTCGGGCCAGAATTATATCGTTACTTCTCGGTGCCAGCGTGCTCGTTTTTTCCCACTCAAATAAGGAAATAAATTAAGACATAATAGACTTAACAGGGCTCCGGTTGGATGGCATTCCGGGATCGTGCCAGTTACTAACGACGGCATTGGTGTGTTTTACGCCATGTAGAGAAACTCTTTTCAAGATTCCGCGCGTAAACCACCGAAAAATTTGAACAGCGTCTTGTTTACTCTTTTCTCAAGTTTTTTATTCAACTTTCGTCGAGATCGTTCTGATATGATTCGTTTAATATCTTAATCGTGAGAAAATTTTGTTACGAGGAAAATGTAGACCATCGTATCAACCAGTATCGAAAACAGCGAAAAAAATAGCAAACGGATCGAGAGGGACGGGAATGAAAGAGCGATGGAAGCAAGGGTAGCCGGGTACAGCGTGGATTCGCTGCAGAAGACTGATACCGAATACCTGGGATACAGGAGGCCGTGCAGCGGTGTAAATGCAATCAAGAAGGCCTCAATTAGACCGTCACGCCGTACATCCCTCATCTCGAAGTTTCGCCGTTCCTTCCTTCGCTTCACCTACCGTCGATTTCGTCGACGTCCTCGTCGTCGTCTTCTTTAATCTTTTTCTTTCCCTTCTTCTTCTCTTTCGCTCTCCTGCAGCGTCTGTCTTCGTTTACTCGAAACCGAAAGAACCGAGGAATAAATGGAAAAAAATATCGGGAAGGTTTATGTCCGGCATATTTTAATATTGATCGCGCGTTTAATTTTTCATCGAGACGATTTAAATCTTTCGACGCTTTACGGTTAATCTAATTAGAAAATTGAACAGACATAATCGTCGGGCGAAACGATTACGATCGATTAGTTTAAAGTTTCGCGCGAATCTCGGGAGGAAGATCGACGATTTTGTCGTAAACTGTTCGGTTTCCCTATCGTTAGACCCTATTAAAGAAAGTATAAGAGAACGCAAGGGAGGTCTGGCCGAAGATGTTTCGAGTCAGCTTACGGAGAGGCTGAGATTAAGGGGCTGTTTAATCTGCATCCATCGCGATGATAGGTAACGGTGGAGAATCATCGTGGGGGCCTCCACGTTAACCGAGTTAGTTACAGGAAACCCTGCAATTAGGGATTGTTAACTGGATAAAACTTTACGCGTGCTGCGCGTGAGAGGACGCGGTACAAAAGAAGAAGCGTTCGAAAAGATAGGAATACAGCGACCGGCGATACGCTTCGAATTCGATAGAAAATTGGAAATCATCAATTTTTAACCGGGGAATAATGTCAACTATCGAAGGTAAAAACTCGAGGCCTTTGCTCGTAGGTGGTCTTTACAGCGTCCGATACGATTTATCTTATTATTTTAGCGTCGAGTCATTAATTTCCGTGGTAGTCATTAGATAAAAATAAATTGGAATTATCGGTCCGACACCGGTCAGAAAATTATACGCGCGGTATCGAAGTAAGACCGGATTCATTGACCAATTTCAGTATCTACCGTGCAGAATAAATGAACCGCGAAATATTAACGTCAGCTTGCAAATTTGTGTCGAACAAATCACTGTTTCGAGAGCAGCATTCTTCACGGAACTCTTCCAGCGTTTTTTTTTTTTCCCGCAGGAGGTAGCCGGTTTGGAAGCCGGTTGCTACCGATCGCTAAATTCGTTTCGATGTAGACAGTTATTAGGTGGCTAGAGCCGGTGTAAAACGTCGTCGTAATGATCGGTTACTAACTAACTCGCTTTCTCCGCTATCCACCCGATCGATGTATTATATAAACATCTACGTATGCACACGTAGAACGGTGCACTTAGCCAACGTACCCGCAGGCACCGGGTCGATACTGTTTACACCGTAGTAATTTGCTAATGGCCAGGCCGACACGATGAATTCGGGATCGACTGGCTGCGTGGTCTGCATCTCGATCGTGCCACGTCCACGGATGGACGCTCGATCACCGGCCGGACACGCCTATGCTCTTCGTTCTCCTTTTCGTTCGTCTCGTTCTTCGAACCTCGCCAAACTTTTCATCGATTACCCACGATTTTCCAATTACAGCGTTTACTCGGGCTTTCAGCGGAATCTCGCGATCGATACACGATCCTTTTGCCGGCAAGAAACGGTAACGAGATATCGCGAAAAATTAGCGGTTTCGTATCGAGGATGGATTCTAATGGTAACTTTGTATCCCGTAACCTAACAGAACACTCGTTTCACGGGAAACAAGCTAATAATAAAAACAGAGGAAAACGACGATTATGGCGAGCGAGTATCGGCGGCAGGTAATATTTTCAGAAAATTAGATCGTAACGAACGTTACGGCGAGGAGAGAAGGTGTGATTAAAGCGCGTCCATTACGCGTTTAGTTGCAATCGAGTTCGCGATATTACTTAACCCTTCGTCTTTGTGGTGGCGTGCCAGAAGGAACGGTCGCGGTTCGTGAACGCTTTAAGGCCGCGTCAGTTTTGATCGGCGGATCGTTTTGTCGGTAATCGTTCGATTTATCAAGCTCGGGAATCGTTAACACTCCGATGGGGTTACGGCGAGCGAGCGTTCACGACGCCGCTAATTAGCTGACGCGCATTAATGGCTCGAGACTCCATTAAACTGTAAAATATTTAAATAACTCGTCGACGGGCGTACCCGGCCGCGAATTACTTGTCATAAGTCAAGTCGAGCAAAGACTTGGAACCTCTTGAAAACTCCTTACCACGATGTATAATATATGTGCCAGTTAATAGCACACCTTTCTTTATTTTTTCAACTTTTCTTTTTCCCCGTCGTCGTCTTCTTCTTCTTCCTCTTCTTTTTCTTCTCCTTCTTTTCAGGAAGTTGACGAGCCTCTAAATTAATATTTCTACCGTGTATCTCGTTTTTAATCGTTGGGTAATAATCGAAGATAGAAAGAGTTAGGGTTCGTATGATAATGAAGAAGGCCGTTCGTTCTCTTGTTTTTTCTTTTTCTCTTCCTCTCTCCCTCTCTCTCTTTTTCACCTTCTCGTCATAGTGATTTATTCGTCGCAAAATAAGGGAAAAGGGAATGGAGCTAGCGTACAAGTACAATAATGGACATCGATGTTCGTGCTCCGTTTCGTCTTTTTTCGAGATCCTTAATTAAAAGTTACAACTTCAACGCCTCGACTGCCACCGCTACTATCAGAAACGACGTCTAAATCTCTGCTAAGCGTTCGACAGTGTGTATAAAGAAATCTGTCTGGACTCTTGGCGAATGACAGTCAAAGCGTCAATTTGTCTCTTACGCTAATTTCCTCGAGATCGTAACGTATGCTTCCTTGTGACATCGCGGTCGGCGCGATTATGTGGGGGAGAAATTTTTGGAAGAAAAAACGAAAGGAAAATGCGTCAACAATGTAACGCAAGTAAACAACTGCAAGATGTAACGCATACGCGGTTGATTATTTACAGGGGTAGCAACTTACGCGCTAAGAACGTGCTTATTACAGTCGTAAAACTTATCGTAATGTCGTATGAACATTGAAGAATCGTAATAATTATAAATAGCATTTTCTCTTTCTCTTATCTAAAACGCCTATGATGGCTCGTGTAAAAGTAAAACGAATTACGCGCTGTTTTCGAACGATTATCGGACGTTCTTGGTCGCGACGCAGAAAATCCTTCCTTCCTTAAAAAAACACACACTTTTCGATTTATCCACACTGTGTAACGTCAATCGCCTTCGGATAAAAACGTGTATCGATAGCTAACGCAGAAAACTACGTACGAGCGAACGGGAAAACATAATTTTTCGATTTTCTTGGTCGCGACGACAAAATTATCTTTTGGACGGACATCTTTCGATGATATTTATCTAGAAAGTTATCTAAAAATTCGCTAGAGACGTTCTCGGTTCGTCGACGCGGTTTCGCGAATCGTCTTTCAAACTCGCTTCTCGCGAATCACAATTTTAACAAGACGCATGTCCGTAAACGTTTCAGGAATATATTATGCTAGGTTGTACGTTATCGAATGGCCGTCGCGCGATGTTAAAATATAAAATTAGTCGAATTCGAAGAATTTTGCACGCTACAATCTAATAAAGCGGAATATAATTATTGTAGGCGCGCGGATATCACTGTCGCGAGAAGAAGCGCGCGAACCGCGATGGGTTTGAAAGACGTTCTCGAATATCTCGGGCGAATATAATGTATTCGCGACGTTTCACCGGTACTGTAAATTATATACAGTATTGTAGAGGGAAATAAGCTTCTTATTCTATCTGTTAGTTCTCGTTCGAACGCGCAGTCGACGTCGCGTATACGACGATAAAGAGGAAGGTTGAAGAAACTCGTTTGTACGTGAACAGGTATGCGGTTCTTCTCTAAAACGAACGACGTCGTAAAAGTTGATCCGTTGGGTCACGATCCACGCTAAAGAGCAATGGCAATTCCAACGACCGTCAGAAAACTCGGACGAATCAAGGTTTTCCCAACAATCGTCGAAATTGTCAACGCAGACGCGACTCACGAATCTTAGAACTCATTCGAAGACGCCTCGAATTTCGTCGAAAATTATCGGATCGCATTAAATATGTAGCGAATCGACGAGACGATAGAAGGTATCTCGAAGTTACGTTCGGTCAACGATTATCGTCTCGAGTATCAGAGATTGCCGTATTATGCGATTCGAAACGATCAACGATTCTTAAGATTACGTCGAGTAACGAAGGCACGTGCGATCACAGAAACAAGAATACCTATCGTTTCAACCTTCCTTCGCGTGTAAACGTAATTAATGCATACAAAATGTCCGCCCACTTGGTAGTAAGTTCTTTGGCTGATATCTTGCACGATACACGCGAAAGCGCGGACAGAAGCGCGCGTTTGATCGCGTTTGCCCCGTCCGTAGCCGCTATCCTCGCTTCTAGGTTAGGGGAAACGATGGGAAGAAGCGATCGAGATCGATCCGGATGAGAAGGTAGGCACACCGAGGGTAAAATCGACTCGTAGACGACGACAGATTCAGCTACGTAATTATACGGAAGTCGACATCGACGAGCGTAGGGTAACGATGGTAAAATTCTAAATAGCGATCTTAGCTACACGGTAATAGCCGAGTCGAAGGCGTAGGCGTACCGATATCGGATTCGTAGGTAACGATAGGCGCATCGAGGTAAGAAGCGAAAGGTCCCGTCTACGAGCCGATCCCCCCAGTCGAGCCGCGAACGCGCAGATCGCACGCAGTCGTACGCCTCGTCTACGAATCGATACGATCGCGAGGATCTATCTAGGAGGAAATAGCAAGGCATTGGTACGCGCGAACCTCTTCAGCTGATGAGATCGCCGTTCTTGCGAAGCATCTCGAGATGCAGCTCGTACTCCCTGGCCTTCAGTCTAAGGGAAGCGATGCTGTTGGTCCGCCTGTCGATGTCCGGTAACCCGACACTGCCAGTCGGCGAACCTTGGGGCGAACTGGCCGTCGGTGCAGACGGAGGCGGTGGAACCGGTGGATGCGGCAGATTGATCGCCGGCGCTGGCGGGGGCG